CTCCAATCTCTCATTCTCCAGGGAAAGCAGTACAGAAGTGTCTTGTCCTTTGATAGCAATAGATAACTAACCTCATTTTGTAAAAGCAGAACTAAACAGAGTTATTCTTTGTCTTCAGCAGGAGCAGTGAATCAGATCTCATTGCCTTGTACTGAACCCCTTTTAAGGCAATTTGATGCCTTACACATGATCATTGAGAAGCTTCTATTTGTACCTTTCCCCCCCCTGCTCTTTACCTGGCATTTCTTTATGCAACAGGGGACCAGAAGGTTTTGTGTCTAAAAGAAACAGGACTGGTTGTATTTCCTGAGGCTGTATTTTCAGGCCTTCTGCATCCGTACCCATCCATTACGTTCAGGTCAAATTTTTGTCTTTCTGTAGCAGCAAGGATTAAAGATGTAATTGCTTTTAAAGTAGACATTTTCACCTCTCCTTAGCCACATAACCCAGGGCTTTAGATTAACACTTCTCTGCCTCAGCCTTCACCTAGCCAGTGTTAAACAATTAAAAAAATATATTAGCCAACCACAACATTATTTATCAAAACTCCTTTTCCTTGATTGTAGGCCACACTAGATATGTACTGACAGGCTAAATCAAAACCAAACGACAGAAATACTTCAGATTTACCGAGGTATTTGATACAGTGCCATAAAGACTGTGATCTCTCTGCACCTCTGCCTAGACTGACCTGCTACTGAGTTGGTAGGCATTAGACAAACCAAGACAGCACTTTCATGTCCTGTGAGGACTCCTATGATCCAAAGGAAGAACACGAAGACAAATCACAGAAATCACCTGGTGTGATTTTGTTTAAATGATCTACATGACAGATATCAGTGTCTTTCTGCACAGTAGGTATGACATATCAAAGTGACTTAGGACAAAATGCCTGTGTTATACTGACAGATGGAAAGTGAACAATCTGTACAAAATTATGTTTCTCTGGCAAAAATAAACTGAAATGGAGCACCATGAAAATTTAAATAAACAAAAGCTTCAGTATTATAATTCCCCATACCATTTTTATAATTAAATGAGAAGTACTTCACACTTTCATGCAACAATCAGATGACTGTGAAAAACCACAAGTTCACCTCTCCAGACATTCACACCTGTGTTACTCCAGACTATTGACTTCAGTGGAACAATACCTGATTTAAAATAAAGCAAGAAGAGAAACAGACCTGAAGAGTGCAAGTAAACCTGAGGTTTTTGATGAAACATAATTCTCAGCATGAGATGCAAAAGGTGACTTTCCTGACAAGTGCTACCCAAATTCTTAATAGCTTTCTGTATGTAGCCTCACCTCATCTCATCCTGACATAATCTTAATTAGTCTTAGTTCTACTGCAGAGAAGCCTACTGAGGCAGTTAGCACCATATAATTAATCAGATACTTTGCACACATCACAGCAACCAACAGTGTCAACTTACTGATGTGAGTTAATACAAACAGAAATCAACCCTGCCTTTCCCTTTCACATGAACTAAACACATGAGGCATGGAATGAACACATGACTATTTCTTCTACACACTGCTTAAGTCCCTTCTTCCCTTAGCAGCCATTTCCTAATGCATCATTACTCTGCAAAGTACTTCTTCTGGTACTAGGAAAGAACATGGAATTTGGTATTTCTCTTAAATTTCTGTTTCTCCATAGAAGAATAAGTCCAGCAACTGAAATAAGCAATGATATGACATAATTCTTGCTGGTGAAAATCACGAATCTCACACTTTATTTTTTTTCTGTGTGCTTTAGAAGGTTTTAAGAAACTGAATTTTACACCTGCACATAAATACATATTTGAGAGCACAATCTGCAACATTCAGTCATCTCATAGCAACGGAAAATAAAATATTATTTTATACTTAAGAATATAAATATATATACAACGTACACACTAAATCACTGAATTAAAAGCTTCACCACCTATCTATGTAATTGTACATCTTAACTTTATTCTATTGTTTGAGATTTATCTTTTGTCTTCGTTGCAGGAGCCAAACATGACAGTATTGTACCCAATGTCACCAAGGGGGAAACCATATGATTATATGATTTGATGGCAAAGAACAAAAAGACCACTGTTTAAAGGAAGCAATTTTATAAAGCTCCATTCTCCTAAGCTTAAACCGAAAGAGTTCATTATAACCACAGGGTTTATTCAGTTTTGTATGGCCTCTGTAATATGCTACAGTGTTTATTAATAGAAAATGCAATGTTTAATACATGGCAGTGTTTTGCTTCAGCAGAACACTGTAAAACTACTTGCAAGAACAATTTAGTGCATAACTAAATTCAACATAAGAAAGAATAGTGTAATATTTAGTGATTTCTCAGATTCTCAGCAGATTATAATCTTCTTAGAAAGGCAGTATTTAAATGATAGTTTATTTCAGTAAACTGTTTAACACCTTCTCCTGACAGTGTTTGTGTCCCAAAGCAGTTAAGTATCCAAGACAGGAATTATTAAAAATTATTACAGCTCTAGTGTTTGCATTTCCAGTGGTATCTCAGCAAAGGAACACGTACAGTCTGTTCACTGCCTGACACAAGGAGTCCTTCACCATTATTACTGTCCAAACTCTTGGGATGTTTTTTTGGTATTTGAAGGTCTATCACAAGAAATTAGGGAGCTTACTGGAATTGCCACATATTTCAGATGGTCTCATCCATGATTACCACTCCTCAAACAAAGAACTCTAATGTCCATTTCTCAGTACCTAATTGCCCTGCCTCTCCCTCTTATAGAAAACTTCTTAATTTGTTATAACACTGGAAGAATTATAACTGATAGGAGTGCTACCAAGTTTGTATTAACCAAATTAAAGCACTAGTAGGTAAAGACAATAAACTGTTCATTTTTGTTCCTCTTTTAGCAGATGGCAAGTATGTCACCAAACAGCAGCAAGGAGGATATATGTATAGGGAGGACAGATAACATGGTAACTTTATCCCAAACAACTCAAAACCCATCACCAAGCTACCTATATGTACTGATGCCTCTTCTGTCCTAAAGACACAACTGTCCTTTATCTTCTAGCCCTCAGCTTCATTTTATAATCCTACATTCACCTTCACTGTCATCTAATTCAGATTTGTCACTGACACTTAGATCAGAATGTCAGGGCCTACGTGCATGTGAACCACTGTAGTTTCACAACATGATCTGGATTAGTAATTGTAATATTATGAGTAGGATGTGAATAGGAAGACAACACAAGAGGCAGATGGCAACAGAGGTAAAGTCAGATTCCTGGGGCTAATTCCACCAGCAAGAGCTGTGTTTTAACCTGTGATTAAAATCTTAGCACGAACAAGGCAAAATAATGCCTAGACACAACCTAAACTGTTCCAAAAGGGTTAGTCATCACGATAAGCTCACGATTAGACTCTATCTGAAGATTATACAAAATGAATTGCCAAAAACTGCAAGTTTGAGGTTGCAAGTCCCCCCCCGCCCATGACTCCCGTTACTATCTCAGTTAGTCTGATAGTCATGTCACCTAGACAAATTCTACTGAAACTCTTACTGTTTTGGATTATTTTTCCAGTCTGAAGAGCCAAATTTCTTATTAGGCATGATCTTGGACAACTGTTGAAACTCTTTCTAAAGCAAACTTTATTAGCCTTAATCATGATAAGTTTCATCAGTCCTGGAATAAATGACATTTTACTTTATTACATGCTGTAAGTTTATCACATTTGGCCACATCAAGCCTTTTTTACTCAGACAAATGGCTTACTCACAGGAGCTTTCATTTAAAAGTGGACTAAATTAGAAATATGGATGTATGGGTGTTCTACAAGATTTAAGAAGTAATGGCATTTTTAGCTTCTCCATATTTCATACTTGATCTCGTAGCTAGTGTTTTTCAGCTCTAGAAACATTTAACGCCTCAAAATCACTCAGAAAATTCTGAACTCTTGACATTCACCTAAAATCAGACTGAAAATTACTTTCTTTCAACATATGATATGCTCTTAGTTGGGCGATGCTACTAATCTTCAGTGTGAAAAGCACAGCCACTGAAGACTTGATGCTTAGCAATATGCAGTAGCCTAAGGGATTGGAATTTTGTCATGGGAGCCAGGAACAGAATCTAAGCTTCTTTGTCTCTATCCAGATCCCTTTGCTCTGAAGAAGGTCTTGGAATTGCAAATCATAAAACTGGCGAGAAGAGCATTGGCACATCTATTTGATACAAAAAATGCTGCCCAGGTGAAATCTGTAACAGAGCAAATTCTGTATGCTCAGAGCAGGTGGCAACAGCTGCTCCACAGAAATATGCAAGATTCCTCACAGAAAATGGTTTCTGATGTCTAGATCTCTTTTTGACAGTATTTGCTACATTTTGTGCTTTTAGTATTTAATAATTGGTTTAAGTCTGGAAACATTGGTTTTAGTATGTTTCCACTCAGTAAAACATAACTCTGGTCATTCTTGTCATGTATGTAAATTTGTCTCTGGATATCCATGTGACATATCTGGAGCATCTTTTCTCCAGCCGAGCCCTAAAGCATCTTATGCTCTCTATTCTTAGACTTTATTGATGCCTAGGCATCTCCAGAGAGTATCTGAGCATGGATTGTCTTTGTCCAGTGACAGCAGAAATGTGCATTTATGTAAAGTGGTGCAGGATTTGTAATGTCACACAGGGTGGAAGGTTTTGCCTAACAGCCAACTTCATAGTGTTGACTTTATTTATTTTGCAAGGACTCAAAAACCCTGGCAAGTGCTGAGTCTGTGGTTCCATGGAAACCAGGTATGCCAATTGAATGCTTACATTGTTAACAATATCCTCCAGAAAATCTCTTAAAAAATGATCATTAATATTAGGATGCCTTCTTTTCATTTATCCATTCACTTTAGTTTCTTCTTTCTAGGACCACATGCTACCTACATCAGAAGAAAACTGTGCTGCACATACTGGTTCTGGTAATACTTAAAGCAAGCTATGAAATATAAAAATCAGTTAAAATGATGGTGCTTACCCCGTTCTGTGTCATAGAGGTACACAAACTTTTCCCACTTATAATAAGTCAAGAGACTCAAGATGGCTCCTTTCAATGCTGGCCTCATCTGGATGACAAACTGCACATCTGCATCCGTTGGGAAGCTGGGTGTGATGAAGGATGTGTGAAGGGCTCCACAAAATGACGTCAGTGTGTTCATTGACATCTGGTCATAGAATCCAAAGATGGCATAAACTCCTCTGGAAAACTGTGAACAGACTAAGAAAGACAGACGAGGGTGTGAAAATCTGAAAAACACTGAATGCAATCAAACTTTCAAAGTATATTTGAGGTAAGCCTTCTAACCATTCCTGATATTCTGTATGATGCAGCAGATGGAATGAATTAACGAGATAATATATAATAATTTCAGTGTAGCAGTAAATTGTACTGACTTTATAACAATTAAACTGGCCTGAACACATTTTTGATTGTGACTTCTGCTATATTGTAATATTCCATCTCTCCATATTCTCTAAAAACAAACATGGGATTACATTGCCTATCTCTAAAATACCTTCCCTTGACAGCACCTGGAGATCTCTGTTAGCAGCTATGTAACAAATGTCAGGTCTGCCTAAAAGTCAAAACATTAAGGTGTAGTTTTCCAGATTGAGATTTCCTTGATTCAGATCAAAGACATCTGGATGTTTTATTCCCTTACAGTCCATAACTCTGAAATTTCTGTGTGGTCTTTTTCAATGAGAAATTATGGTGACTTCTTACTCGAGTGTTAAAACCTTTCAGAAGAATATGGAAAGTCTCTGGCTTATTACATGACCTCACAAATAAGCAACACATCTTGTTTCTTTATGGGAGGCTGTTAGTAATTAACCATTCTGCTGTCCTGAGGAACCCACCTTGTACCAGAAAATAATCCAAGTGCAGACAAAAGCATCTTTTTTCACACACTTCATTATTTCCCATCCTTTACAGAGATTGAACAATGACCATTTTGGACAAAAATGAAAGTATTTCAATTTATAAACATGGCCGACTTCACTGGAGTTGCAGGAAAAAAGATTTTCTTTGTTGTTCAGCTCTGTAGGAAAAGTGCAAACTTCTTGCGACCCTGGGTTCTTTCCACGAAGGGATTCTGCATCAGACATAGTGAGGGAGCCCGATCTGTGAGGGGCTGGGACTCTCACTCATAGCAAAGATGTACAACTGCAGTACACTGTGGCACAGCAGCACTTCCAATCAAACCATTTCTGGACCGAGAAGAGCAAGTCCTATTTGTAATGAAAATAAGTCTCCCAGAAAAATGTTCACTCAATTGTAACAATTTTGCTTGTCAAGAACTGGATTTAACAACAATTTCCAACTAACCCCATTAAACATTTTTGCCAAAATGCTGCATATTTAACTTTGCAAAAAGCAAGGGCAAGTAATTACCAGTAAGGAAGACCTGACTTCTACACACACAAATACAGCAGCGTTACTTCTGAGAGTACCATCATGAAACACTTCCCACCACAAAGGCTACCACTTAGAATCACTAAAGACTGCTAAAGTAATCTCAAACAGGATTCTCCACAATATCAGCTCATTGACACAGCATCATGGATAACACCTCACATCGGCAGTCAGGTGTGAAAATTTGATTTTCTTCCTGGAGGTCCAGATGTAAAAATAAAAATGCTATTAAGGAATTGCTTTAAGTGTTTAAGACACTGTAAGAGGACATGACCAGCTCTGGATACCAGTAGCAAACTACAGCTGGTGCAGACATAAAAGAGACGTGCATGAGACACAGAAAGGAAATCAGAAGTGGTGATTTCTGAAATAAAAGTTTGCAGAAGTTCTTCACCACAGTAAAAAAAAGATATAAAAGAAGCTATAATACAGTAAGAATTTATTCCCAGAGGGATGACTGAGGAATTAAATACACTGTTTAAAAAGGCATTTTGTTAAACTATATACCAGCAGGATATAAAGTTGAAAAGCTTCCATAAAAAATATCTGCTGAAGTAACAAATAAAAAGCATTAACTCACAGGTGGAAAAAGGAAAAAATAAAGATTACATTAGAAAGTCTGGCAGTCTCCAAATCATTTCAATGGTCTGTAAACCCTCTAATTCCACGTGAATAATCAATAGAGTGGGACTAGTGGAGCTCAGTGTCCTCACATACACTGAGCCTGTACCTCACAGATCAGGCTTCTTTTACATATTTATTAATGGCCTAGTTTACTAGTTTTTATGTAGATTCTGTACTGCAGAAAAAAGCAAGTATTCCAGGAAACATCCCTTCTTGCAATGCAAACAAAACATATTCTCAAAGGTCTCCTGACCCTAAAAACCCAGAGTATTTCAAACAATCCCGGGTTCACCCATTATTTCTTATCAGGTATGAGGCATAACTCAGGAATACTTTTGAACTGTGACTCAACTGAAATCGCTCAGCTTTGTAGGGACACTGCATCTGAAAAAAGTCACAAGGGAGCCCAAAAAGCCCAGCATGTTATCCAAGCTTAGGATTTTAATGGAGAATACAGATCAGCTCTTATTAGGACTGCTAGTTCCTACATCCCATACAGTCAGTAGAGAAGAGGTGCAGCACTAAAGGGAACTGCCAGTGGCTGGCTCCAGTGGGGACAGTTCCTGTCCCCTGTTCCTCTGCCCTGTGCTGGGAACCAGCTGGAAAGTGGTCAGCTTTGTGCTGTTCCTTGTTCTTAGACGAGCACCAAGGCACTGCGGCCTTGAGTTTGAAAATGGTTCAAGGTCTTTGTCCTTCGGACATAATTCTGTCTTTCATGGCTATTTTAAAACACTGAATTAAAATGCATTTTCATAGCAGATTGTGCTCACTTATGCAAAGAGCTCACTCTTAGTTTGTGAGTAATCTGAGGAAAAAACTAAACAGAGTCTGTGGACAACCTGACCATAAGCAGGACCTTCTCCATGTAACACCTCATAGCCACCATGGAGCTGCTGCTTGCATGGAGGCAAGAGCTGCTGATTCGGCCTTTCAGGTATTTGCAACTGTTTTTCCTGAAAATTCTGGATGATCACCAACAATATCTTCTAACAAATGCAAGGCCCTGTCCAGTTGTATTTCCCCTGATTCAGGTTTGTATTCACTGCAGATTTTAAAGATTTAACCCTTTAACAGACTCTCTGTCTTCTGTTAGTAGCTTATTCTTCGTGACTATCCTGCATGCACCGTAGCGTGACAATTTTACTTTACTGACCTGTTTAAAGGGCAAATAAACTTTCGTTTTTATAAGGAAAAGCTAAAAGGCCAATTATTGTGGTCCTCTGTGTTTATTTGCATTTTTGAACTCACAGTCTTATCTTTTGTATAGTTTGTGACCTAATCTCCTATATTATCAAAAGAACTAATTGAATATCCATGAACTCGCAGCCACATTGCTATTTTTTTTCCAAAAAACAAACATGTAATTACAGTAATTTTAATTACATTATTATTCTAACATCACTGGGCCAGAGGGAAAATTTTAAAAATGGTAACTAAACCTCAGCTTTAAGCTCTTTCTACAAAGTACTTTCTATTGACAATCACAACTATCCTCATGTCTGAGTAAGAATTTTGGTATTTTTCCTTAATTAATCACAGCTGATTTATGTTTATTTTTCCCTATTTGAAAAATGCAGATGGTAAAACACATACTTTGGCTGCTAAAGAAATGATTTGGACACATCCTGATGCAAACTCATTCCTCAAAAAAAAAAACCAATTTTTTTTGCTGAGCTATGCCTGTATGAAACTGCTCTTAATTAATTATGGTGATGTACATCTCTTTCCAAAGCAAGCACATATGCAAGTTGCTTTATAACTTGATCTGAATAAGTTTCAACCTCCACAAACAAGGGAGAGAGGCCCTGAGCAGCAGTTCTCCAACAGGAGATCATGATAAGCCATTATTTTGGCATTAGGTGTAAGGTGAGTATTTATTAATGCTGACTTAACACTGGGCTTGTTCTCACAGAACATGAGCTGCCACATGCCATCGTGTTCAGGAGAGGAAGGGATGATATGATAGAAGCCTGTGAATTCTCAAGCATGTCAAGAGAAGATAAGAAACTTTCAGGTCATGACAGACTGGTGTTTTCTGCCAAGGAAGGAAAACGCTCAGAGCCAGAATGATCACAGTGGTAAGCAGAATTTACTTTCAAATAAAAAACCAAACCAAACCCAAGCAAACAATATCCCACTTAAGCCACATAAATAAATCTCGGTTTCTGTACTGAAAGCAGCTGAGCCATCCTAAGTGTCAGTGTAACCCAATGAACCCAGACTTCTGTTTTACTTGCAGTTCCATCCTCCCTCCAGACAAGTCAGGCCCACCACTGAAACATGCTAAGATTAACAGGTAAGATTCTTTTCACTCAGACCCCCGGAAGGCCATGGGCCAGAACCTCAAAAGATGCCCCATTTCACACAAGTTCTTAGATGTTTTGTGCCTTTTAAAAATTTATTTTTGCTATCTAATGGTGTTTAGTTTTTCTATCTTCTAGTGACTGTGAGTATTCCTGACACTGCAAGGTTGTACAGGCTCTGACATCTCTACTGTCGATTGCCTGGAAGCTAAAGTCAAAACTTCTCTGACACCTTTTTTTTTTTTTTTACTTCCAGTCTTACTACAAACAACTGAAGCGTTACTAGGAACATTTACAAGCAGTTTTGGATTTTGCTTGTTTAGAGAAAAGATGCATAAAGCCAACAAAAGGGATATGTTAATGGTGGATCTTAATACACCATTTCCACTGGATGATATCATTAGTGACTGAACTGTAAAAGTCAGCAGGACCCTCCACTTCCACACGGGATCTAAGAGCTCAGCAGTTTTGGAGTCAGGGGTTGGAGGTTACAATACTATTCCTTCTTCATTACTCTTTTTATGGACCAGTAATTTCCCTTTGTCCATATCAATTTCTTATAAAGTAGATCTGACAAAATCAACCTGTGTCAAAGGGACACTGCTCCAGTGACACACCTACAGCTCTCTGGGAGGAAAGGCACTGCTGGAGCTCCATCACCACAGACATTACTGCGTGCTGCTCATACCAGTTCCTCGGGTTTGTGTTCTGTGTTTCCCTCAGCTGTGAAATAATTTTATTCCCTCCACTTTCTTCTGCCAATTGTCTTGGACTCCACACAATTCTCACTGCCAGCTTCTGCCAACAGACTAATGGGACTACTTTACAATGGAATAACGTGCAACACAGAGCAGTTGCCATTTCCTATCTAAGGCT